CTATCTTCTCTAGCTATTTTGGTAAAATATTTTAGTCTACATATGTCTGCGTATTATGCACCTATCTGTCGACCTTTAATTCTAATACATTTTCCATTTTTAAGTTTACTAACCTTGTAAAATATTCAGAATTACTATTAGTCTCGTGGTCACTAAGATCCACATTCGTATCTGCTTTCTTCTATAACACTTACAGCAATATGTTCACCTTTAAAAAAATAAGTATGTTTTTACTTTGTTGTAATTATTTTAAATAAAGTTAATTATGAATTTAACTTCAAAAGAACGATAAGAAATATCCGTTTCAGTGTTTTATAAGCTTTCTCAGCTAATTCCAATATCAATTTATTTCTGGAACACATTATGACAATTATAACAAAAGTAAACTGTTGAACATAACCTTAAAATAGCGCTGAATGCCGTAGTAGCTCCTGTTACGATACCTAATGCTATCGCCTCGGATAACAACGAAGACTATTGTAACTAAAGATACGATGATTTTTAACATTTGTTTTCCATAGATCGGAGATACTATAAAACGTGTACATGTACCTAATATTGGTTGCATAACTATATCTACTGAGATACAGTTCTTTTCTGGGGAAAAGATCATTATGTTTTAATATTTTGCGTTCGTAACTCAAAAGGTGTAAAATTTGAGGTACTATAGTCTTCGTTGGACCAGTCCATATGTTAAAAACAATATTTGGTACTCGAGAAACAGAAACAGTTTCTATATTTATGAATGTTAGGAAGATGGAGAAAGTTGATTACTTAGTATGTGTGTATGTACAGCGTTAACAGGCCTTTTAGGCCCATTGCTGGATGGATAATTTCCATCGTTTTCTATTCTTAGTTAACAGCTTCCAATCTCTGATTTCCATCTCTCTGACATCTTCCATCACTACATCTCTCCATTTCTTTCTTGGTCTTCCTCTCTTTTTTTGCCCTCAGGTACTCTCCAAGCAATATTCTTGACTAGTCTATCACCTTGCATTCTTTCTAGATTACCGAGCCATTCTAGTCTACGTTTTTTTACCACTTTTGTTATTGTAGGGTTAGCATACAAATGATACGCTTCTGCATTAGTTCGTCTTCTCCATTCTCCCTATACTACTTTTCCACCAAATATTCTGCGAAGAATCTTTCTTTCTCATGCTTGAAATGTATTCTGTATTGTTTTGTTCATAGTTCATGTCTCGGCAACGTATAGCATTGTGGGTCTAATTATAGTTTTGTATACTCTTATTTTTGTATTACGAGATATATCTTTGGCCTTAATTATTTTGCTCATGGCTCCAGCACACCTGTTGCTCTTGGTCAGTCTCAGGTTGATTTCAGTTTCTTCCTTTCATGTCTGATCAATAAGAGTACCTAAGTACATATATTCATCTACCTTCTCGAATTCTACAACTGATCCATCCTCCACCTCCAATTTAAAGGATTCCCCGGTGTTTATTCCTTTTTTGCTCGAGATGTCCATGTATTCCGATTTTCGATTTATTAATATTAATTTTCAGTCCCATTTTAGAGCTTTCCCGAATCAATCTTTTTGTTATATTTGATAGCTATTTTTCATTTCTTGTAATAAGAACCACGTCATCAGCGTATGCTAAGCATTGGTGCTCCTTGTATAAAATAGTTCCGGACCTATTTATCCCACTATCCCTTACAATTTTTTCTAGAACTATATTAAATAGCAATGTAGACAACGGGTCTTCTTGGCGAACACCTTTTTTCACTTCAAATTGTTCTGAGATTGTACCGTTGCATCTCACAGCATAAATGGTTTGTCTAATTGTCATTTTTACCATTCTTATTATTTTTTCTGGCACTTGGAACTCTTTTAGTGTTTCTAATAACTTGTTTCTGTCTATTGTATCGTAGACAGCTTTGTAATCAATGAAAAGTACTTGTGCTGAAATGTTGTATTCATAGCAATTGAACAGGATTTGTTTTAGCATAAAAATTTGATCGGTTGTTGATCTTCCTTTCCGAAATCCTCCCTGGTATTCTCCTAGATTCTTCTATATATATATATATATATTTCTAACCGTTTTTTAATTAGTATGGCGAGTACTTTATAAATTACTTCTAATATAGATATTCCACTATAGTTTGCGCATTCAGTTCTATCTCCCTTTTTGTGTATAGGAATTATAATCGACTTATTCCATTCTTGAGGCAGTTCTTCGGCATCCCATACTTCTAGTATTAGCTCGCCAAGTTTGTTTAATAAGGTCTCTCCTCCATATTTTATGTTCTCTGCCACAATGCCGCTCTCCCCGGTGCTTTTTTGATTTTTCATATCTTTTATTATTTCTTCAATTTCTTCTCTTGTGGGCCTTGGTATTTCTTCTATTACTGTATGAGGTTTAGGAACATAACAATTTTCTTCAGTAGTCACTTCTTCATTTAGCATCTCTTCGAAATATTCTTTCCACCTTTCACATATTTGGTCTTCGTCCACTATCAGGTGTCCCTGCTTATCTTTTACATTTATCGTTCTTCCCTGGTACCCAGTTTTAATGTATTTTACTTTTTTATAAAAATTTTTTATTTCATTTTTATTTTTTCTAATTTTATCATCCATATACTTTCGTTTGCGCTCCCTTAGGATTCTCTTTACTTTTTTTCGTTGTTCGGCATACCTTTCAAGGTCGTCTTGTTTTTGCGATCGTAAACTTTTTAATCTCAAATCTGATCTCTTTTTTAACTCTGTTCTGCATTCTTCATTGAACCAGTGGTTTTTTCTAAATCTTTTTGTTCTTGGTATGTTCTTCGACGTAGCTTCCTTTATAGTGGTTGTCATTTTCAAGAACTTTTGTTGTATGTTACTTACACCATCTTGTTTCGCGTAGGTTTCTTGTATATCCTTTTGATAATCCTGCGCTACCTCAAATTTTCGCAGTTTTTCATAGTTAAATTTACGTTGCACTTTCTTTTTCTGTTTATGCTTTTTAATTATTGCTTCTCTCATATTAATTTTAACCAAAAAATGATCTGAGTCTACGTCAGCCCCTCTGCACGTTTTCACATTTGTTATTAAATTGGCAAATTTCTCTTGTATTAAGATGTGGTCTATTTGATTAGTTCTATTTGATCACGGAATTTTCCACGTTCCTTTATATATATTTTTTCTCATAAAATGGGTACTCATTATCTTCATCCTGTTTTCAATTGCGAATGTTATTAATCTTTGTCCGTTATCATTTGTATTCAAATGTTTACTTTCACCCCCTGTTATGGTTTTATATATATCTTCTCTTCCGATCTTTGCATTGGCGTCGCCTATAATAATTTTAGTATCTTGTCTGGGCATTTCTTCACACAATGACTCTGATTCTTCGTAAAATTCGTCTTTCACTTCTTCGTCTTTTTCTTCTGTTGGAGCATGTATATTTATCAACGATATCATATTCTTTTTTCCCTTAATTCTAATTGCACACATTCTGTCAGATTTTACTATGAATCGTTTTACTTGCTCCACGTCTTCATGTACCAGAAAACCCACTCCAAAATTCCTATTATCGCCTTCACTTGTGTAAAACGTGTATGGGCTAATCTTTTTAATGTCGTTTCCAGTTAAATGTGTTTCCTGTATTGCTAAGATGTGTATTTTATATTTTTTTAGTTCTTCTATTAGGTTAATTAATGCTCCCTCCTCGTATACTCCTCGTACATTCCATGTAGCAATATTTAGGTAAATATTCTTATTTTTTATTTTGCTATTTATGTTCAAACTTATTTTCCTGTTCATCGCTAGGGTCCGTTGCCATAATGGGCCATCTTTTCCTTTTTCCACTACTATATGTCGTTTTTTGGGTTCATATTACTAGAATTTTCTTGTTTAAAAGTACCATTTCCGGCCCATACCCATTTTATGCCATCCACAGTTAGTTTTTTGTACCCTATCTTCACATTTCTACCTTCAGCTCTTAATTCTTTGCCTTTATTTACGATTTCCTGCCTCATGTGTCTTTCTTTTTCGGAAGATCTTTTCTCCAGTAAGAAATCTGAGTTTGTTTTTTTCTTTCATTACCTTAATTTTTTCGCCATACTCCTTCATTTGTATCAGACATATATTAATCTTTAACTTCATTGCAGATTCTATTTCGACATCCTCTTTTAGGTGCTTTTTTATCAAATCTTTTACATTATTTTTTAAGAGTGTTTCATCTGTTGTGTTTATTGGTAGACCCGTAATTACTATGTTATTTCTTTTCATCTGTTTTTCAATTCTTTCCACTTTGTTTTCAACCTGAGTTAATTTGTTTTTTGTTTCTTCCAATTCTTGATTTATCTTTATATTTTCTTTTTTCAGCGCTATCATCTCTTCTCTATATTCCTTATTTTCATTCCTGATTTCTTTCAGTTACGCCATCATCTTCTTGAACATGCTCATAACGTCGTCCAAATCCTCTGAAGCTTCTTCCTTTGGTTTTCTTTTGCTTGGGGTTCTGGCAGTTTTTGCTCTGCAAAAAAGGTGAAGTTGACCCTCTATCAACAACATTGATGGATTAAGGGTGACTCTATTTAGATAAAAGGATAATTTGTAATGTTGTATTGTTATTTTAAAATAGAGTAATAACTAAAGAAATGGATTTTTGTGAACTTTGGTAATATTGAGGCCCATATGTTTTTCTTCTTCTGGTGTACTCCATTGCTGGAGGTTTACAACCACTACATCAAAATGATCTCCATTCTGCGCTATTCTTCTAGTTATTGTTGTAAAATTTGTAACATAACGTTATTGTACGTTTCAATGCTTAAAAAGCAGTAAAATACAAATTATTGGAATTAAGCAGTGTGACTTTTACAAACATAACCAACATTTCAGAACATCAGTGAAGTAATTCTAATTCTTTTCAAAGTAAACCTTATCAAAGATTAGTTCTAATTGAAAAATCATATTCAAATTAAATAATATTTGTCCAAATTAGTCTAGTTTGTATAAAGCTACCATTATTACGTTAAGTAAACTGTATTTTTATTTATAGGTAGACGTATTTTCTGGAGAAAAGCGCACATACAGAAGCCTACTGGAAGATTCCTGCACATTAGCACAAGCCCTGCGTAATTTTGGACTACAACCCAACACAATTGTTTCAATAAGTAGTGAGAACAACGTGAGGTTCTTTGAGGCAGTTTTAGCTTCTTTGTACGTAGGAGCTACAGTAGCTCCCATTAATCATGTATATACAGAAGATGAGTTAAGACATGTACTCACACTGTATCGACCAGAGATTATATTTTGCTCTAAAACAACTATTAAAAAGTTCTGGAACCTTCAGAAGGAATTCAGTTTTATTAAAAAACTGATAATAATTTATGGTAAGTTTTATTACATTTAGTTAACTTTTGGTTGATCAGTTTAGTCTTTTAGTATATTGAATTTGTTAAAAAGATATATATTGTAACGAATATTTTGCCTACCACATAGGGTATTATTATAAGGGGTTTATAGGGCGAGCAAAACAAATCGAAACTTATGCGAACGGCTCTCAGGATTTATTTGGAAAACTGCGTCGTGCATAAGTGAACAAAAGGGTATTTACATGAATCTCCTGGAACAAACAAAACACAAGAAGATCCTTTAGCTATTTGAAATAAGGACGTCGCTTTGAAGAAACACTGCTGGATGAAGAAAAGGTTCTTCCTTCCTAAAAACACAAAGAGGTTAGGAACTTTTTTTCAAATAGATAAACAAAATGGTTTAGAAAAAAAAATTAAACATTTATTACTGTCTCACCACAAACAGGGACAAAAATAAATAGTACAAAAATACTATAGTTACCAAAGCAAATACAAAAAAAACAAAGAGAAACACTTAATATGTCCTATTCGTTTATAAACTCTAGAAGTTGGATATAATACAAAACTTACAATTGTTAATGGGCGACAATTTGTAGCAGAATTAAATTGTTACAAATAAAGAAATATTTTTAAGTGAAACTATGCATAAAGGTTGTTGAACATAAGGATATACACAAGGTAACCTAGACCACCGCTGATGGAAGAACAACTAGTCAGATTGATCAGATCTTAATAGATTCAAGACACGGAACGGACATAATGAACTGCAGAAGTTATAGAGGCGCAATCATAGATTCAGACCACTGTTTAGTAATCTCAACACTAAGGGGCTAGAATTTCAAATTCCAACAATGAAAAAAAATCGATACAAAGCTAGGAGATGCAACTACTGCAAAACAGTACTGGGAAAATATTACCAATAGGTTAAGAAATCAAAGTCCAAGCGGAGAAGACCAGAGAGATATAGACTCCTACTGGAACACGATAAAGAAAGATATTGAGTCAGCAGCACAAGATGAAATAGGAACAGAAACTTGTACCCGAAAAAATTACTGGTTTGACGATGAATGCAAAGACGCAACACAGAAAAAATATGAAGCTTATGCAAAAGTGCTTACCCGCCGGACTAGAACAAGTGTAGGGAATTACCAGACAAAGAGAAGAGAAGAAACGAAAATACACAGAATGAAGAAATGAAACCGCTTAAAAAAGGAACTTTAATATATAGAAAACCTCAACAGAGAGAAAGAATTAAGAACATTCTATAAGAAAATTAACATCACCAGAAAAAAATTCAATGCAAACACAAATCAATGTAGAAGTTTGAATGGCGATCTATTAACAACAAGAACAGACGTACTAAATCGATGGACGGAATATTTTAACCAAATACTTAATATAGAGGAAGAAGAAAACCCGAAAGACGAAAGCTGTGAGGTAAGCGGAGCAGACGAGAGGGAGGTGCACCCATCAACGATCCTGGAAGTTAAAGACGCTGTCAATAAACTAGCCAGAAACAAATCACCCGGAATAGATAATCTTCCAGCGGAACTATATAAAGAAGGTGGTCACGATATCACAATAGCGCTGCAGCTGCTTATAAAAGAAATATGAATACAGAAGTCCCTCCTCTGTAATTGGAATATTGGAATACTTTGCACCATACACAAAAAGGGAGATATCTTTGAATGCTCTAACTATAGAGGAATAACGCTCCTAAATGCAGAGTATAAAATATTCTCCAATATACTATGCCATCGTATGGCACCGTATGCAGGGCAAAAAATAGGACAATACCAGTCTGGTTTCAGAGGTGGTAAATCAACAATTCATCAGATTTCAACCCTGAGACAAATTCTAGAGAAAACACTGAAATATGGTGTAGACACGCACCGCATATTTATAGACTACAAGGCAGCCTACGACTCTGTAAATAAAAGAGAATTGTTAAGAGCAATGATAGACCTGGGAGTACCAAATCAGTTGGTAAGTTTAACTAAACTAACCCTTAAAAAAGTTGAATGCAGAGTACGAATCCTGAACCTTTTAATACAAATAACGGGCTACGTCAGGGACACCCACTCTCCTGTATACTATTTAATATAGCTCTGGAAAACGTAATACGTGAGTCACAAATCACAACTACCGGTTCAATATATAACAAATCTGTGCAAATCCTAGCATATGCTGATGATATCAATATTGTTGGGAGAACGGAAAACGCAGCACAAGAGGCGTATGTAGCACTAAAGGAAGCGGCTACAAAAATGGATTTAATAATAAACATGAATAAAACGAAATACATGAAAGTAGGTCCGCAACCACAAATACGACGGCCACTTGTTATAGAAAACGACGTAGAGAGATAAACGAGAGATAAACCGCAGAATTTGCACGGCTAATAGATGCTATTTTGGGCTTAATCTCCTTTTTAAATCTACAGCTATATCAATAAATACAAAAGTTAAACTCTACAAAACAATAATACGCCCAGTCCTAACATATGGTTCAGAAACCCGGACTTTAACAAAAAGCAATGAAAACATGTTAGGATGTTTCGAAAGAAAAATACTGAGGCGAATCTATGGAGCGGTAAATGAAAATGGTGTCTGGAGAAGACGATACAACTTTGAACTCTATAGAGTATACCAGGAACCAGATATCGTAAAACACATTAAGATAGGACGTCTGAGGTGGGTAGGCCATGTAATGCGGATGGAGCAAACCGACTCAGCTAGAAAAACGCTCCCTGATAGACCTATTGGTCAAAGAAAAAGAGGAAGACCCAGAACAAGATTCCTAGATAACATAGACCAAGATAGGAAAATGGATAGATGAGAAATATGGAAATACGTGCTTGGCGGAGGAAGGCGATGGATAGGGACGACTGGAAGAGAATTCTTGGGGAGGCTAGGACCCACACAGGGTTGTAAAGCCAAAATGATGATAATGATTATGCATAAAGGTTAACCTTCTTTAAAAACCAGGATTAGATATTTACCAAATATCAAAAATAGTGCTAACTGTGATATGACAATACTAAATCTTTAAATAGAACAAATAATATGACAGCTAGACCTAAACCACGTCCTAACATCTGCAATTTTAATTATTACAATTTCTAAACCTGTATGAAAGCAATTATTATTAAAAAAAAGTCTGTCTTTACTTTAAAAGTTCAAACAAAAAAGTTACCTGCTTTTTACTAAAATTTCTTTACGTTTTCGTCAAATTTTCTGGGGTTGGGAACTGTACTTACAAAAAATTTTGGGGATGTGAACTGGACTTACACTCTCTGCCACCCGAAAAAATTCATCTTCAAACAGCGAAAACGCCTGGGATGACAACCAGAGACAAACAAAATTAGGATGGAAGCTGCTGGGCAAAATGGAAACATGTGGTTATCCTTCAAAGTTGTTGTAAACTTTTTTCAACAAATTTTCCGATTTTTGACGCCGACACCCAAAGCGTGTTCTCTTTTCAAATATGTTTTCCAACCTCTTAAACCTTCACTTCAAATGTAACTATACATTGAACTTAATACTGCAACACATTTTCCATGAAAAAGGACGAAAAAAAAAATCGGAAAAACTTTAGAAATTTGACAAAAAATTTGGACACACCTAAAACCAACTGCCCCTGGCAGTGGCTTCAGCGAGAGTGCGGCAATTATCTTCAGATCTAATTCTCTTAATCTAAATGAATGTTTATTCGAAAGGCAATATTTCTTACGATATACTAGAAAAATTCAATACCATTTATACGGAAATATTTAGTAAGATACGTCAAAATAGCACAATTCTTATTATTTATTTGAGCTACCCTAGTAAAAAATTAAAGCACGTGGTGTTCGTGTGTATTAAGGTATAAAAACGCTTATTAAAAGCTTAAAATTTTTTTATTGTAAAGAAGATCTTTTCGGAATATGTATCATTCCATCATCAGTTTACTAAAAGAGAGAGTAAAAATACCAATATTAAAAACAACAAAGTTAAAATTTGAACATACAAAAAGAGAAAGTTGGTTTTTTACTACTTACATAAAAAAGTTGTTAAAAAACATTGTGTGGCCACATAAAAAACATTCGGTTGACATCTGGATTTAAAAAATAATATTCTTCGTGTTATTTATTCAGGTAAATGCAATAGACTCTTGACTTTTGTAATGTAAAAAATGAAACTGGGGGCATCTTATATGACCCCCTGTAGTTGGTGAAGTTTTATTGACTTACATTACCTCTGATCTGTGTTGGAGTCTAGGGCTAACTGATAGAAAGATGGTATGAAAAATCAGTTAGTACCCGTCAATGTCAAGAGGAATGATGTGGTAGGAGCAAAGTCATTGTGCTTAAGTTTGTGAGTAGGCAGTTTTTAGTGAAGAAATGTGTTTTGTGTGTAGTAGGATCATAAGCAATTTTTGGTATTTTAAAAAAAAACTGATGGGAGAATATAAATCAATGTGTGACTGTGATGCAAAATAAATCGGTATACCAAGGTAGGTAAAAATTTTATGTAATTTAAGTGGTTAAAATTAATAAATCATTTTAAATGGGATGAAAAGGATGTTATTACCTAATTGTATCGTTGTATTAAATAAGTATATATAAAAGATGGATTGTAATTTATGGAAGATGAGTCGAGGAAAAGAAAAAGAAGTAAACGAGAAGGTAAGAAAGGGAATAGAAAGTGAATGTGACGATGTAAGATGGAGAAATTGAAACTGACTGTGATAGGAGGTAGATAGATGTAAAATTAATATTTATAAGAAAATGTGTATGATTGTATGTGTATGATTAAATGAATATATATATAAAAGTAGGATTGTAATTTATGGAAGATGAGTAGAGGAAAGAATAAGAAAAAGGAAATTAACGAGAAAGTAAGAAAAGGAATTAGAAGGTGAATATGGTGATTTAAACTGGTGATATTAAAACTGATTGTGATAAGAGAAAAAAGATGTAAAATGAATAATTTACATCTTTTTTCTCTTATCACAATCAGTTTTAATATCACCAGTTTAAATCACCATATTCACCTTCTAATTCCTTTTCTTACTTTCTCGTTAATTTCCTTTTTCTTATTCTTTCCTCTACTCATCTTCCATAAATTACAATCCTACTTTTATATATATATTCATTTAATCATACACATACAATCATACACATTTTCTTATAAATATTAATTTTACATCTATCTACCTCCTATCACAGTCAGTTTCAATTTCTCCATCTTACATCGTCACATTCACTTTCTATTCCCTTTCTTACCTTCTCGTTTACTTCTTTTTCTTTTCCTCGACTCATCTTCCATAAATTACAATCCATCTTTTATATATACTTATTTAATACAACGATACAATTAGGTAATAACATCCTTTTCATCCCATTTAAAATGATTTATTAATTTTAACCACTTAAATTACATAAAATTTTTACCTACCTTGGTATACCGATTTATTTTGCATCACAGTCACACATTGATTTATATTCTCCCATCAGTTTTTTTTAAAATACCAAAAATTGCTTATGATCCTACTACACACAAAACACATTTCTTCACTAAAAACTGCCTACTCACAAACTTAAGCACAATGACTTTGCTCCTACCACATCATTCCTCTTGACATTGACGGGTACTAACTGATTTTTCATACCATCTTTCTATCAGTTAGCCCTAGACTCCAACACAGATCAGAGGTAATGTAAGTCAATAAAACTTCACCAACTACAGGGGGTCATATAAGATGCCCCCAGTTTCATTTTTTACATTACAAAAGTCAAGAGTCTATTGCATTTACCTGAATAAATAACACGAAGAATATTATTTTTTAAATCCAGATGTCAACCGAATGTTTTTTATGTGGCCACACAATGTTTTTTAACAACTTTTTTATGTAAGTAGTAAAAAACCAACTTTCTCTTTTTGTATGTTCAAATTTTAACTTTGTTGTTTTTAATATTGGTATTTTTACTCTCTCTTTTAGTAAACTGATGATGGAATGATACATATTCCGAAAAGATCTTCTTTACAATAAAAAAATTTTAAGCTTTTAATAAGCGTTTTTATACCGTAATACACACGAACACCACGTGCTTTGTATTCAACAGGTATACTAGCCACTCCTGGATATCTCCACTTCATGGTTTGTTCCAGTTTCACTTTTAAAAATAAAAAATTAAAGTTTCACGTACCACAGAAGCCGAGATATTAAATATTTTACAAGCGCGCTTTAGTTTAAAGTTCCAATCTAAGAAAAAACGAAGCTCAGGCAATTCTTACTCCCACTTTTTTTCCGTAGCGGTATTTTACGAATACCATTATTTTAATAGGTTATAACTGTTTATTCCTTTACTATATACGACATCCATAAGTTGGATCACATATTGTAGATCTTGATTTAAAATACTTTTAATTTTTAGATATTAATGTTAAAAAACAATGAAAATATGATTTTAAGAATTAGATACTATCTTAGTTCTTATTGGTTAAAAAAGGTTCTGTTTTCTTTTCTCTACGTTGGCGATTGTTAAATGCTATATGAAATAGCTGTATTGAGGTCTTTCTATACCATGCTCTCAGGTTAGCAAGCCAGCATATTCTTCTTCGTCCTGGGGTCGTTTTTCCTTCAATTTTACCTTGCAAAATGCATTGGAGTAGCTCGTATCTGTATCTTCCTTGATATCTCATTATATTTTCCAAGTAATACAGCTTACGGCTCTTCACGATGTTGAACAAATTCGCGGTTTTGTTCATCTTCCGCGTACTTCTTCATTGGTGACTTTGTCTGTCCATGGTATCTTCAAGATCCCTCTGTATAACCATAGCTCAAAATCCCGAAGTTTTAATAGAATTTCCGTCTTCAATATCCACGTTTCTACTCCGTACAGAAGCACTGTAGTGCTTGTAACAATATCAAAGTTATTATAAATGTTTAGAAGCTAAAAAATCCCCTGTTTAATTGGTTTTTAATAAAACATTTAATAATATGTTAAAGATTTTTTAATACTCCCTAACACTGACGGCCCAAAGAATCAATTGCAAGAAACAAAATACTTGTAGAGTCACTATTTAAACAAGTACAGTTTTTTAAATAATCGCTTTCTGGAATAAATAATTTGAATAAATTGTAAAATATTTTTTGATCTGCTTGATATTTAGCACACTTTAATAACTCATCAATTGCCATAATTTCAATTAGCTATATTACCTGTCGTTAGGCAAAAAAACAAAATTATTAACATTTAAAAATTACTATACACATAATATATTAAAGTTTACGGTTTTTTGGAATTATCCCGGTAAATTTTTTATGTATTTTAATTTGGTATTTTTCTAAATAAAAACCTTTTATGTTTTACAACTTTTATTTGAATAATTTTTCTTTAGAATGTATACAAAACGGTATAAGCAAAAAATTATTACTTTTTTTACTTTTTAAAATTGTTAAAAAATAACAAAATCAACCGTATGTCTTTACGAATTTTTCGTCGGCTACCCTCATACTATTTAGAATTTTAAATATCTGTATAGGATTTTTTTAAACTATTTAGCAAGGTTCTGCGAAATACTTTCTTGTGGTATGATTAAGTCAAATATTATTTTTTTTATGTTATTAGGCCACAATCCTTGAACATGATATATATATATATATATATATATATATATATATATATATATATATATATATATATATATATATATATATATATATATATAGCAGGGTGATATCACATCGTAGTGATATAAAAACCAAAAAAATCAATGCATGTGCATCGACAGAACATGCACTAACTCTAAAACATGAATTCAATTTCGATGATTCCTGTATTTTGACAAAAGAAAAGAACCATTCAAAACGTGTTTTTTTGGAAATGTGTTTCATAAAATCTAGCACATCTTGCATCAACAAAAAGTCCGACATAGACAAATTAAGCAACATTTATTGTTATTTACTAGAAAAACACCAAAAATAAAATAAATATTTACCTGTACATAAATTACACCTCTATGTATAATATGTTGCATACCATTAAGACAGGTTTAAAAAGTATAGTCACCTGAGAAGGCCCTAGTATTTCTTGAAAAGAGGGATAACATTAATTACACCTAATTACATATTAATTACAGTGTTTTTACTTTCCATTCTCTGTATGAGTTAATATACACCAGTTAAACATGCCATCAACCAAGTTTTACTATTTTTACAATAAATTTTAAAAATTTTATAATGTATTATGTCTATAATTGTATATTTTAATGTGTGGTATGAATGTTGAGTGTCAATGCTTACAAAAATAATCTCAACGACTAGTAAGTTACACTGAAGAATTGTGATATTTTTTAAATATTTACATAATTGTCTTTTACAGTGTCTTGAAAAGGAAATAAAATTAAAAAGGAATAAAACCATTCCGAAAGCTCGACAAAAAGTCAAAAGAGTGTTTTTTTTTAACATCCCGGCCAATATTCTGACTGCAACCTAATAAACTGTGTTGGTTGTTTATATCGACAGTCAATAATATCCAGTATTTCTTATATATATATATATATATATATATATATATATATATATATATATATATATATATATATATATATATAGGTGTGTGTGTGTTTATATTTCTATTTACGATGTTTCATTAAGTATTCGTTTTTTTTATTAAAGTTAGAATAAATTAATTAAAAAAAATACTGCGAAAAACTGTTACCGCAAATATATAAGGAATAACCTTGCTTACCTCATTGGCTTATTTCAGGTGATGAAGCTTTTGGTGTAGAAAATATACAATCATTTAAAAAACGATTTTTGGGATCTGATATTATTCGTCCAGAACTCTTTAAGCCTTATAATGAAGAAGATCCAGTTGATCATCTTGCTTTTATATTAAGTTCTTCTGGAACCACCGGTCTCCCTAAGGGAGTAATGCTCACAGACCGAAACTTTTTGGTTAGGATTGCTCAATCAAGGTAAGGAAACTTTTATTGGGATGAAACCTTCCTTTTTGTTTTTATTTATCGTATCTGTGATCTATGAGGATGCCTTTTTTAATGTGAAATGCGCTAGATAAACAGACTCTTGCGCTAACAAAAAGGTAATGACTACTACATTAATTGTCGTTTTAGATTACTTGTTTCATGTACCTAATGCCTATTCTAAAAATCATACGGGAAAAATATTCAGTCATTACTGGACCTAACTGTTGGCCCCTACTACTTCTCATGCAGTAGTTTATCCATACTTCCATATAAATTTAAATTTTATTATTCCAGTATATTTTTAACCGTCACTGCATTTTAAACAACAATTCTTTATATTTTGACTTTGTATTTTCCTGTACTATTTACGTTACATATATCTGTTTATTTTGTACTTCTTTTTTTAACTCTTTCGGCTCCGACGGTGGCAATTACGAAGTTTATAATTCGGCACACATATCTGTGATATGACTTATTTTATTTTAACATAATTCTAATAGAGGGCGGCTTGGTTTACTTAAAGTAATGAAGTAATCATACGACCCAGTAAAGGACCTAAGGAGTCAGATTAAGAAAGCATCCGCGTTGTCAGGATGTCTAAGGGAGATAGTTTGATCAAATCTGTATATGCCCACAGATAGTAAAATTAGAATCTACAAGATTTGCATACGACCGATCATGACATATGGCATAGAAGTGCGCAAAGATAACAATAAAACCAAACAGATGCCAAGGGTTGCCGAAATGAAAACCCTCAGAACAATAGTGGGCAAAACAAGAAGAGACAGTGTGAGAAAGACAAATGTTAAAGAGCAGTGCAGAATTCAAGATCTTGTAAAATGGGGAAGGCAGCGTAGGCAGAGGATGTGGTACAATCATGTAAGACGAATGGATGAATAGACTCCCAAAAATTGCCCTAGAAAACAACCCGCTCGGTACAAGATCTCCCGGAAGACCACCTATAAGATGGAGGGATAGTTGGAAATCTACCTCCCAGGAAATTAACCAGAGGCAGCTTCAGAAATAAACAGATCGAAAGATCTCAAAAAAGTAAAGGAAAAAGAAGAAGACTTGAAGTAATGGCTGTTGAATATCATTCTTTTTCACTTGGTAAGTATTTGTTTTTTTCAAACTTTTTCCTTAATTCATTAAACCGCTTTAATTTCTTTTTTGCTCTTGCCAAATATAACACTTTTCCATCAAACTCTTTACCATTATATTCGTCAATAGCTGCATATGCCGATTTTGCGTCTCGATAAGCCACAAGCCCAAATCCTTTAGATGATCCATCCATATGTCTCATCACCACAAAACTTGTTATTTCACCAAACTTATTAAACATATTAAAAAACTTATCATCAGACTTAGTAGATCCAAAATTTCTTACATATATATATATATATATATATATATATATATATATATATATATATATATATATATATATAGTGAATTGTTTGGCACGTTCACAAGCTCTTTTTCTCTATCGAAACACAAAATCGCCACATGCAGCTATTGAATAATGTAATGGTAAAGAGTTTAATGGAAAAGTGTTATATTTGGCAAGAGCACAGAAGAAAGTAGAGCGGTTTAATGAATTAAAGAAAAAGTTTGAAAAAATTCGCTTATGAACTATATCAAGGTGTTAATCTATATATTAAAAATATTTGTTTTTTTGTTCTAGTACTGCTATTGTGTTGGAAAAAACTTCATGTAGCTGTTGCTATTTACTAACTAACATTATGAAAAGTTCATTTAAGAATAAATTGTAATTGTTTCTGCATTTGCTAATATTTAGTATAGTCCTATAAAAGGCTTATCCACATGCCACCAGAAGGTGTGAATGGTTACAAAAGTGCATTAAATAGATTAGAGATTAAGAAAAAATTTTAAACAATGAAATCTTTTTAGATGAGGTTCCTACAATTGTATTTTACGGAAAAGGGAAAACTGAAGTTGATGTGACCGTTGTGCAAGCAGAAGAAGCATTAGCTGCCCTGAATAATGACTGTTATGATATATAAGATGATGAAGATCTAGATTAGGAAGAGGCTGATATGTCAACATCAGATGAGGATACAAAAAGTAAAAGATGAGGATGAAGTAACATTAGAAAAAGAAAAAATTTTTCAAACGACTCTAGGGAAAACACAAAAAACTATCTGGAAGACTGGAAAAGTTGTACCTCCAAATGGTATTTTCGATCGATCAAGTGAAAGTAACTTTAGTTATGATAAAAGTGTCAGTTTAGAAGACCATTCACCATTTGAATATTTTTCGCGCTATTTTCCACCCGAAATATTCAAGGAGTTATCTGAAAGAACAAATTCTTATTGTGTTTACAAGAATTGTAAAAGTCTTAGTACTGAAGAAAATGAGATACGCCACTTGGTTGCCCTGCACATTGTAATGGGAATTAATAATTTTTCAAGGTTAAGACTTTATTAGGCTCCCCGTACACAATTTCGTTTGAATAAAGATATCGTTATATCCCGAAACCGATTTGAAAATTAACGTAATCATTTACATATCTCAGATGTCAACACCGATAAGAATACCAATGATAAACTTTAGAAAGTGAGAAAGAGAGAAAGTTTAACTGTTCTTGTTGCCATTCAAGGGGCAATTTTCTCTAAAACAGTATATTAGAGGCAAACCAAATCCTTAAGGCATAAGAGTCTTTAATTTTTGTTGTAAATCAGGAATAATATACCGATTTCTACTGATAACCCCAATGCTACAACTTCACTTGTTCTTGTATTTATGTCAAATATTGCCAGATAATTCGGGATATAAGCTCTACTTTGATAATTATTTCAATTCAATGGAATTAATAAAATTACTTCACACGAGAAGAATATTTGCTGCTGAAACTATTAGTCAAAATCGCATGAGAAACTGTACTGTTCGTTTCGAAAAAGAACTGAAACTATCAGGAAGAGGAAGTTCAGACTCGAAAATTACTTCCGATCAAAATACTGTTGCAGTTAGATGGTTAGATAACAAGGTCGTTAATATGGCCTTAAATTTTATAGGCTTAAGGCGCGTTTTCACGGGTCGATCTGAGTCGAACGATTTGGATCGTTCGACCATCATTCGATCTGTGCCGAAAGCAAAAAGGTTTACACGACAGTCGATGAATGTTGAATTAATTTTAAATGGTACGCTTGCCGGATGGCGGATAGTTCACATTTTGACGAAATGCCCCTGAAGATGCTATTTTAAGCGAAAGTACTTGGGCTAGACTTAATTAACTTGTGCTCGATAATAGCCTTATTTTCAAAGTTGAATTAATTTTAGTACAAAATGGCGTCACGTGAAATTATTAATGTAGGTGTGCAATTAATTTGTCATGCAATTCGAGAAGAAATCGCAAAATCAAACAAAAAGAAAAATAAACGAAGGTGTTGGACCCGACCGTGGATTTTAAGACGAAATACCCATGGTGCATCACAAAACCTACACCAAGAATTGGTTGTGGAAGATCCAGAGGCTTATAGAAATCATTTAAGAATGGATAATGCACATCTTAAAAAACTTTAAAAAAAAACTGCTGGGAAAATTTAAAAAAACGATACAGATATGCGTGAAGCATTGCCGGCAAGGCTGAAATTGCAAATAGCTCTTCGATTTCTAGTCACTGGAGACAGCTATGCGTCACTCGAAGCCTTGTATCGAGTACCAAAATGTTCAATATCGCTATTTTTGCCGGAAGTGTTGGATGCTATATATGAAGGACTTTAAGATTATATAAAGGTTAGTAAAACAATTTATTTTATTTGTATGTTATTTTAGGATATAACTCGGGTTAACATTACAACATTACTATGAATAATCGTCGTTTTCATTCCTAATACTTGCCAACGCTGCAGCTAGCAAGTCGCTAGTTGACATGTCCGGCATTACCGTAGTATTTGCTGGGAACTATGGTGGCGGTGAACAAACTTTACTAAACTGGGTATCCAAAGAATGATAATCGCTTGATGCAGTCGTATGTTCAGAGAAAGATTCAACATGATATGTTGGTAATGTCGTTGAACTTAAATACTTTAAGCGTTCTTGTGTTAAGATATTTTGGAACTGTTGTTCAATTTCTAAAGCCCTCTGCAGCGGGAACTGTCTGAGTTGGCTAGCAATATGTTTGCCAAATGTTGCAAACTCATCTTCGACGTTGGAGCTCTTAGAGATCTCCTCCAACTTACTTAATGCTCGGTCAACTGAACTTGTGTTGAAAACCTCGCGTATTTTTCTTTTCTGTTTTTTTTTTCTATTAAGCCTGTTTTCGGAGTACTAAGTGCGTTTTCAGTGGTAGTTCTAGTAGCAGACGTTGACGGTAAATATTGATGGATTACTCTGGGCGATATATTTAAGGACAAGGGTGGCTGTGATCTATCCTGAGAAGCGTCTTCTTCATTTGTGTCATCAATACCCGCTTGTGAATTCGTTTCTGCAACGTCGTTTGTTTGCTACGACATAACTTTAAAATCCTCCATCTGCTGAGACAAATTTTGGGAATTCTGTAAACAAAAATACATTCATTCATTATTTTGTTTCTGTTTAAATTTCACATATACATATTATGCATATTTGCCTTTTTAGTTGTAGGTTCCAGAATCCAAAGAGGATTGGAAAAACATTCAGGATGAGTTTTACAAAAGATGGAATTTTCCTTACGCTTGCGGCGCCTTAGATGGAAAACACGTATTAATTAGGAATCCTCCGCACGGTGCTTCTGATTATTATAATTATAAAGAAACACACAGCGTCGTATTACTAGCTGTAGTGGATGCTACCTACAGATTGATATTCATAGATGTTGGAAAAAATGGCCGTATGAATTATGCGTCAATTTTTAACCAATCAGAATTTAATGAAGCACTAACGGAAAATCGACTTCATTTGCCAGAAAATGCGGTTTTTGTAGCTGATGATGCGTTTCCACTACGTACAAATATTTTAAAACCGTATTCAAGGATTGGAGTGCTGTCACA